AGAAAATTACCTGGTTTAGAATTGATTGATCATTGCTCTTGTCAATGGAATGCATTTTTCTGACAAACTTGATACTTTCAAGGTATGGTCCCAAATGTAAAAATGCTTTTGAATGTCTGCTTCTTTGTGCATTGTGAGCATTATTGCCATGCCTGGGTGTTCTGCAAACCTCCTGCAAAGAACTTTGTAGTCAAGAAAAAAATCACATACCTCAAGAAGAAAAAATACATACAATCTCAAGAGGAAATGAAATAAATGTATTAGTGATACTAAAAATGCTTATAGGGTGTTCCACAATTTTGTAATGTTAAAAAGGCAAACTTAGAGAGGCTTTAAGAAAAGTCTTTTGAAATATTTGTATGTGTGTGTATATATACACAGGAGAGGGGAAGAGTAGTGTTAAGAAATTTGGAAAAAGATAAGGAGAGGTGCCCATGAAACAAGGTGAATGACTGTAGGAGATTTAGGAATATGGCTAGGAAGGATAGAGAAAGTAAATGACCTCTGCCAATGGTTTTAAACAGAAGTTTTGAACATATTCTAGAGGCATGGAAAGCATTGCTAGAAGCTAAATTGAGCTGTTACATAAAACACTGCATATGGTATAAATATGAACAATCAAATTTGTAGTACATAATATCAGTGCTACAAACTTTTGTGAAAAGTTCCTGCATGGGGGATGTGTCAGCTTTTTAAAAGGACCACAAGTGTCTTTTACTTATACTATTCTTCATGTATCAGCTGTTTGGAGTTCTAAAAAATAAAATCAAGTTCTTTTCATTTGCATCTGAACAGTGCTTTAATTGTTCTGTTAGTTACTAACTTGGCCTGAGGTCCATTTTGGTCTTACAGATGAGAAACCTTTATAGTGCTCCATACCATGGAATTGGGGTATCAGATATTTTTAACTTTCACTCCAAAAAAGCCTCAGAGAAAACTTATATTATCACTTACATATTTTCTCTGTATAGGTTACCAAGGGTGCTATTTCATTAGCCATGGTGTTGTAAGCCTGTGCAAAAGCCCATTTAGTAGAAGCTGACTGTTGAGCAAATTAATTGCTGGAAAAGATTAATATTTATTCTGTTTTCCCAGCACAGCAAAAATATGAAATATATTGTGCAAAATCCATTAAGTGGCACGAAAGGCTTTAAGCTACAATAAACTTACCCATTTTTAATATTATGTTTTTATATATATTATAAAAGAAATTCCTTTTTTCATGTCTATGTATTAAAAAATAAATATTTTTACTGCATCCTTAGAGGAAAAAAAAATAAAATAGTATGAAATTATTTCTTTCTATGGTACAAAAAACCATGGTTCTGCCCAGTAAAAGTTTTTTTTGTTTTGCTGATTTTACAAGTTTCTTCTTATTCTGTCACACAAAAAAAAGATGAGAGAAAACAACTGAAAAGCTTCACACCATCATCTGAAATCTTTTGATGGTTTTTAGATGGAGGTATTTGCTAAGGACTGCAATGAGCATTCTTCCTTTTCTGTTATATGGTTGTGTGCATTGAAGCCTTCTCAGAGCTGCCTTTTGCTTCAACCAAGAATTATATCTTATATATGAAATTTTCAGTAGCTGAATTGGAAATAAGGTTAAAAAAAAGCATCACAGATGGAATGTTAGAAGATAGGACACAGTAGGAGGAGATATATTAATGGCTGGTGGATAATTAGCAACAACTTCATATCTCAGTGTCACTTTTGCCATGGGATTGATGCAATGAGCCTGTGAATGCTTGCTCACAGTTGGATTTTAGTGGGTACTTTGCTGCAGTTGCAGCTGCTGTAGAACATGTGTGCGGTGCCACATAGGAACTGCTTGGTGGGATTTGGCTGCAGTGCTTTGGCTCTGTGTGAGTTTTATCTTTCTCTCATTGTATATTTGCCATCCTGGCTGGGTTATTTCCACCTTTCCTGCTCATTGCCAGATTTGCTTGGAACTTGGCCGCTGACATGAAAACTTTCTAGTTGTAGAGACAAAAGCAAATTTCTCTTTAGAAGTAGCAGTGATTGGAGGGTCACTGACTATGATGTTGTGTTCCTCTTCCTCCAGCATTTATATCAGAAAGACATCAGAAAATAAAGTGTGACTTAATATTAAAAAAAAAGAGGTTTTGATAAAAGGATTTAAGTAGAAACTTATTGATACACTAATACTAGAACATTAGGAAGGATGGGGGAATTCCTTAAACTGTATTTAGTAACATGCAAAGTCTTCAGGCCATATGGTGTGAATATTGCCTTGTCTTTTTACAGAACTCAGCTGAACTCTGGGGTACATTAAAGAGACCATATTGAATTTCTAATGTAGCAGAATCTGAGCAGAAGTAGTGTGTTTTGCGAAGCAGTGTGTTTTGCCATTCAGGCACATTCTCGTTTTTGAGAAGAAAAATTAGGTTAAAAATAAATACTGAAATGCTCTTTTTGTAAAGCTTTTTTTTTTCTTCCAAAAATAAAGCAGAATAGAAGAGAAAAACTTATCTAAAGATGTAACTGGTATCCCAATGAAGATGTTTAGGATATATATTGAAATATAAATTTCTCTGAGTGGAACTGGGAAGAGTGTAGTTCTAGTCTTCACACTGTCAAACATCTTCAACTTCTCCAACCTGAATATTTCTGTAATTTTAAATTAATGATATATAAATAACTATTATGATTTCTTTTGGTTGCTAATAATCTACAGAGGTAGACACAGATTTAATTTGAAAATGGGTAAGAAAGGAAAGAAAATGCAGTATTCCAAGTATTTTCTAGAATCATTGCTCATAGAAGCATCAGATACTCATGTTTAATGTTGGTTTCCATCAATTATTCAGATTAGATTCAAACTCTCTGTAATAGCTTGTGTTTTTTTAAATTCTATAGAAGGTGAGTATAAACAGAGGAAAATTGTGCAGCCTATTCCATTGTACAGTAGTATTCCCTTGTACAGTAATATTTTTGTTCTAGTGTTTACATGTAGATCCCTTTTCACAAGGATTTCTAACTGAAATAAAAATCCTTCAGGATTACGTTTCCAGGGATTCAAAATTATATATTTATTTGCCACTCGTGATTCCAGCCATTTATGAATATATTATGCTGTTCTTTAAAGCTATCAAGAAACTTTAGAAGATTGTCTTAGATATTCTATTTTTTGCTATACTTATCCAATAGCAGGCTTGTTTTCTATACTGAAAATATCCTAAATCAAGATAAGCTGAGTATGCATTTTATTACATTGCTGATCTTTTGGGATAGTGTGAAAAAAAAACATTTTACATTTGTAAGAACTTCTCTTTAGCCAAAATTTCTTTAGGACTTCTAGTATGTAAAGTTACAGAGCATGCAGTGCTGTGTGGATGAAGAGCTCCCCAGGTATGCTGTGATGGGGGGACTGGAGCTGTTTGTGTCAATGGTTTGCAAATAATGGTTCTCTGGGAGAATTTTAAATTGCAGTTTTCACTCCAGACTGGTGCTTTCTAGGATGAGCTGAGTTGCTATGAGGCTTGGCACTCTTCAGTGCACCTTAGGCAGCAGTTCTTACACTTCCATTGAGATTGTAACAGCTGGCCATTACAATCAATCAAGTGACATTTCAGGGGTAATTTTTCTTTAATATTAAGAAGAAAAAAGAAGAGAAAGATATTCAATTGAAAGAATTTTTTTCCAGAAAGAGCAAAGAATTTATTAATTTACCTTGGACTATGAAAAGCAGTCTCTTGCAAGTAAATCACAAACTGATCATGCAGTTATTTTTATTTGGAACACTCTGGTATTTTCTATTAATATGTACTCATTATCCATATCTTTGTAGAATTGTTCTACATAGGTGTTGGTTATATGTTGCACTATTCTTCTGCACGTATGAGTGCAGAACACTCAACTATAGGATGTGTAGAATAGGCTATTAGGGGTGTGATCAAAACTTCACTGTCCAAACCATTAAATAGATTTTCCTTGCTTTAAATCAAGCCTTCAAAGCAAAAAAGAAGTATTAGAGATGCTAGTGAAGAAAGAGGGATTCTAAAGAATAGATGGGACAGCCTTCAAAAATAGTAAAAAAAAAGCCTTTAAAATGTCTGGGACAGTAATTTGGTGTGAGTTAAAATTCTTGAATCTCTTAAATGGAATAGGAAGCAGGAGAGGTTTCGTTCACTGCCATTTATGACTCAACCAGCAAATACAGTTTGTACAACTTGTTTCTGATTCTCCCAAAGTCCATGAGTCTGTTGAATTAAAATATTATTTGTTCACACTGTCTCTGTTTTAGTGTTTTAATTTTCTACTTTGACTCAAGCAGCTAACCCTATATGAGCATAATCATATGTTCATTATATGATCCTGTGATTATATGTAATTAGAGTTATTAATGACACATTCTTACTGTGTTTTGGTAATTTGCTCATTGGTAACAAAGGAACAAAATCATGACAATAGAGGTTGTAATCAGAACACTTAATGCAAGGCACATCCTTAGTGGGGACTACCTGGGTAACTATGTATTTAGCTATTTTGGAACCTAATGTCTTCAGGGACATTTAATGATTACAGCACTGTGCCTAAAGGATCAGAACAGGGAAAATTATACAGAAGCTACAGTGTGATGCAACAAAAGTGGTATATCAAATCTCTTCTCTCTGTTGTTCCTGAAGTAATGCAATTGACACTCATTTTAATTAGAATTAAAGAAGCAGTAGGTTCAGAAAGTAATGCTAACCACTTGAACTTCCCACCATCAGCATCTGACACTCTTCAGGGTGAATTCTCCTTTATATGGATGCTTTTTCTATCATAAGCATAAAGTGAGGGGATTAAAGATCCTCCTCTTATGTGAAAGATTAGTGAAGATGATCTGATGAAGCGCAGTGGATTAAAGCAGTTGGGGAGAGCTTCAGGAAGGGATCTCCTTCCTCTATCAGACAATTGTGGTCATTGCTTTGACAACACATTTTTTTCTTCTACTATTAGTGAAATTAATTCTATTTACCTCTTATTCTTTTTAGGGATCATCACAGAGTCTCTCCAGTGCAAGCGACCTTCAGGTGACAGTGTTTGCTTGACTGATTGAAATCAGTGAGAAAACATTTTGGACATTTTGTGACACCTTACACAAACAAAGAAACACAGATGGGGTTTGCATCATGGATCAACTGAAGTCTGGGATTTAACTCTCATTTTTAGAGTTTTAAAACTGAATGAAACTGAGAAATTTATCATCAGGTGCGTTTAGTACTGATTTGTAATTTGTGAAGCTTCATGCAGAACTTCACTTAATTTCTCTCAAGAAATATCCCACCACAAGGGATGAAGAAGTTTATACCAATGGTTCCAAATAAATCCCTTCATCATAAATAATTAAGTAAAACAAATAAATATTTTTTGGCATATAAAAATTGAAATATTTTCCCATGGCTTGAGATAAGCAGTTCTTATAAACTAAATTATCTACCTGTCTGTCAAGTAAATGCATCCATGTTACATATTGTCCTTGAAAACTTCTGGTTTTACACAATATTTTAGTCATGAACATGTGTAGTTGTTGGCTCGTGGAAATATTTTCATATATCATCCTTTGCTTCCCTGATTTCAGAAAACAAATTCCAATGGGAAAGCTGGAAAATGTAATCTCCATCTTCGGCTTTAATATAAGCGTGCAGGCCACCTCTTATAATATGTATTTTTAAATTAAGAAATGAAAAAGCACAATAATAAACTGTTATTTTTTCTGAGTTGTGTACAAACTCTGTTTCAGCTATCATCTCCAAATGCCAGGGATTTAAACAAAGATGTCACCTCTGGACTATTTTCTATTTATTTTGTAATATAATTGTTTCTCATTATCATTACCTCTAAGTTAATGGAATTGACTGATCCAGCTGTAGATGAATAAACCAGAACAATTTATTAGAGGTGTTTCCCTTGCCTGAGGCCTTCCCTGCTCAGCTTTCATTTTCTTCTACCTTGTCTCTCACGGAGGCCCAGTTTCATCATGATAACCTCAGACCCCTTCCTAGCTAAGTTTCATCTTATTCTTGCAATTCCTTTTTAAATAACATCTCTCAGATGATTGTTTGGATTGATAGGGAAACATTTAAAACTCTTGTTCATGCTCCTAACATCTTATGTCTCAGCTGTCATAATAGAGTTTTTTCCTGGCCTTGACAAGTTTATCACATCCAGGTGAATGGTGCAACAAAGCCTCTCTTGCTATTGTATGATATAAGAATGCAGTGTGGTCTGTCTTCCCCTTCTGTGGAATTGTTAGCTTTGCCTCCCATTATACCTCCACTGCCCACTTGTTAGATTTTCAATCAAGCACTTTTGTGCTTTCTTCTATGGTGACCCTGTACTTTAAAGTTGCCATAAATGTTTAACGATGACCTCATTAAATTCAAGTCCTTAAAACTCTCCCTTGTTTTAATGCCTATGAAAGAAATGAGAAGAAACGTCAGGCTGTGGGTGCTCTGGGGATTTTGCAATTCTTACTTTCCCAGTTTCCTTGGGCACCTGTCTCTTCTTACATCCTACTGGTCTGCCTAGTTTGTTTTGCAGTTCCTGGGAAGTGACAGCTTTTGTCTTCATGCTTTCCAGCACAGCATAGTCCCACTCCCTGATTTGATGCCTCACAATGTGGTCAAATTAAATGCTCTTTTAATGAGTAGTGCAGTTTGGAACTGAGTTATTCAACTTGACTGGGTAAAATGCCTAGGTGGTTAAGCCTATCAGTCTTACATAAAATTGCTTTTGTGATGATATTTAATTTTTTTCATTATCTTTTTAAATTGTTCTCCTTGTGCTGGACATGCAAAGTAAGACTTGATAGGTCAGAAACAGGAAAAGCTCCAGTTATGACAGGCCTAATCTGAAGTCTATAATAGTATTCAGATGTTAGCTGAAGTAAACATTTATGCTGCCCAAAGGCTAGATTTTGGATTTAACCTTGAAATGCCTATACTCCTCTTCCAATTTGTTTTCCTTGCTTATTTGATTTGTTTGGTTGCTTTTGTTTTGTTTGTCATAATCTAGAGGGGAAACTATCTTCAGGAACATAAGGCTTCACAAATAGCTGGTAATAAAGTTTCCATCGTACAACACACTGGGGAGTTTTAAGCAGACTACTCACTCTATCCCTGAATATTCTGTATGCAGAAATATTTGGGTTTTTCCACGAGTCTGAAGACTGGGGAGTGGGATGAGACCTTGAACAAATAAGAAATTATTTGAATAGTATTCTAGCAAAATTATGGATGTCTAATGTATGCACATCCCTGATATTTTTGTCAGCAAAAATTACATTGCACTTAGGTATTAAGCCTTTTTCTCTCCAGCCTGATCTACCAATTACTGGCCTTTTCATTTTGTCAGTAATATGCAAGCTTTCTCTTAACTCTGCTGTAATTTGCAAGGACACAAAGCATGCTTGAAATTACCTACCTGACTGCACTTTGTGTGAAGGACTCCATCCTCTTGGCTGTTTTAGATTAACAGTGAATTACAGTTCACTTCAATGCAATTAGATCTAATGAGGTGCACATGGAGACCGTTGGGCCACCCTGTAACCACATTATATGGACCTGCTAGTTGCTATTTCAATCAATTGGTTTGACCTCTGAATACAAACTAGGACAAAGCACAAAGGACTGTGTGGCCCTGATGCCTATTTACCTGAATGCAGGGGGAGATGATAAAAATTGTCCTCTGTCAGGAAAATCTCTTTCTCTAGGGAACCTTTTGAAAAGAAATCCTGTTTGCAAAAGTACGGTTAATGTGGAAGAACATGTCTGGTGCAGAGAGCTTGATTTGCGAGGTGCAGTTCAAGGGGCAGGTTGAGCTCTGAGCAGGAGCCCAGGGAGACAAGGGGCCATGAGGTGCCAACCCTTGGGATCACAAAGGCACAAGGAGCAGGGCGCTGTGAGCAGGCTCTGGGAGACACAGCAGCTGCCAAAGACTCGGGGGAGCAGCGAGGCTTGAGCACAGGTAGGTGAGAGGGGATGGGTGAAAGCCCAGGGGTGCCTTTGCTGCGTGTCCAGCTCAGGTTGTTTTGGTGTTACTGTGCCATGAATAAATGGGTTTGTGAAACTGAACAGCTAATCTGCTGAGGGAAACCTGCTCTGTGTCTGTGCAGCAAGCCAAGCCACTCCTGTTAAGAGCCTTTAGTCCCAGCAGTGACAGTCTCATGAATGGTCATTGTGGGAAGTGTCCTTTAGAGTTGAAATGATTGTAACTTTACTTATTACATGACCAATATTTCTATAAATACTTTATTTTCTGGTATGACTTGATTTGAAGTCTCACAACTGATTGTTAGGAGCCAAATATTAATTTTCATAAGAAAAAAATAATTTTATTGGATGATATTCTGGTGATGAAAAAAAAAAGGGAAACCGTATATAATATTGTTGAAAGTAGGGAAATTTTCTACAAGGCAGTTTAGTTTAACTGGATTCAATAACTGTTTGTTATTGTGTGGTAGAGAGAATATTTTCACTTAGTCTGGATCATAGTTTTCAAGTCGTTGTCAAGTGAATCTGCCATTAACACCAAAGAAAGGGCACTGGATTGTAATTTACAGAGTTGAACTTTCATTGTGAAGTCACTGTTCATGGGAAGAGTTAAATATGGAGTTAAAGCTACGAGGAATGTGTTCTGTTTCCCAGAGAAACTTTGAGCACAGCAAAATGAAAAGCATAAGTTTTGTGTTTGTGCTAATACAGAATTTAAAAACAAAAGAAAGAAAAACAATTTAAAAAGTGGATTAAAAAAAAAGTAGTTTGGTCCTTCTTAGAAATTCAAAGGGTTTTTTAAGTTCTTTTATTAAAGATCTATATATACCTAGAGACTAGCAGTAGTGGCTTGTCTATTCTTTATGCAACATAATATTAATGGGCCAAAAATGTTTGGGAAGTGTACCTACCCAGTATTTGCATTGTTAAAACCTTTGTAATTATGGCCTTGTGCCTTGGAGAATAAATATTTGCAAATAATGGCTGAAACAGTTCTCATTAGTCATTTCCAGGAGACTGAAATAGCTCAGTTTTATAAGTCTCTTTGGTATATTTAAGAATTATTGTCTTACAAAGTTTGGAATATCTTCTGCACCATACCTTATGAGAGGACATGAGTCAGATGTACAACCTAACAGGAATCAGCAATGAATTCCTGGTTATGAGTCATGCTGAGGAACAATGTCTTGATCCTTGCTTGAATTTGCAAGCATGTAAACTTCCTTCTTCCTATTTCGTTTAGCTTCTGAATGAGAAAACTCCTTTTGTACTTTAATTAAAGGAAACATCCTAAGAAATCATGCTTTATTCTAGTGACATGTAAAAGAAAAGATACTGAAAAAGAAAGATAAGCTTTGCGGTAACTCAATGAAATAACGAGTATTTTATAGAAGTTGCCAGATTAGACAAAGGTATTTCTATCTCATATATTTACAAGTTTTTAAAAACCCATTTCTATTATGAGTACATATTCATTTAAATTAATTAAAACCCATCTTCGGTTTCCAATGTAGGTTATCAGTTGATAACAGATATAATTTTCAATGACCCACTGGTAATTGATAAATTCATGAAGCATGTTGGCTTGCTTGTAGACCTTTCATGCTGGAACCTCCACATTATACAGTCTGCCCATTATTCTATATAGTTACCATAATATGAACAAATCTGAGAGTTTAAAAGTTTTCTGTGCCTAGTGAAGTCCATCTAATGCCAAAACTGAAAATCAAAACATCCTGGACTATATTAACTGGGTGAAAATACTGGTAGCATATGGGATATGCATCCTCAGGGTCTACTCTAGCCACTATGATTGATAAGTGATATTGATAAGTGTTCCTGTGAGTTATAACCTGGATTAGAAATGTTTTCAATTACATCTCCCATGGATTCCTTCCTTAACTGTACTGTGAACTAACTGCTGAGGGTGGCTGCACTAAAATTGGTCTCCTATAATGCAGATTTTTGTATACTGTTCAAGTACATTGCAACTACAGTATATAAGGTATTTTACCTTATTCTGGTTTTTTCTTACCAAGAATTAAAATCCAAGTGAGTTTAGGGTAAGAGTTCCTCTTCTGTAGACGGAGTTGAGATAAAAACTTGTAAAGGATTTATGAGTAAATAGGCAACCTGAAATACCCATTGACTTGACTTGTGTTAGAACTCCCTTCCTATTTCTTTCCAAAGGCTGGTTGATGTCAAAGGCCATCTGTTTCCTGTAGTGCAGAAACGTGTAGACATTGACAGAACAGAATTTTAATCTGTTCAGTAAACTACATTTTAAATGTTTGTTTCAAGAGTCTGAATAGTAACTACTCTGGAATTTTGAGTGCAGTGATTTTGTCATTTTTTATGTGTTTAAGGTTTGAGTGTTATGCTTTATCTCAAAGTAATGAAGCATGGCATAGTCTCACTGTGCCAGCACTGGCATCTTCTCAGACTTGTTGAGG